CCCCAGCCTTTTATTTTTTATTTATTTATTTTTTATTTTGAGATAAGATCTTGCTATGTTGCTGCACATTTGAGTCAGCTTTTTCATTGTTGTGACCAAAAGACCGGATAAGAACAATTAGAGGAGGAAAAGTTTATTTGGGGGCTCATAGTTTCAGAGGTCTTAGTCCATAGATAGCCATCTCCATTCCTCAGGACCTGAGATGAGGCAGAACATCATGATGGAATAATGTGACTGAGGAAAGCAAGTCAGGACATGGCCATCAAGAAGTAGAGAGAGATTCCACTTGCCAGAGACAAAATATATACTGCAAAGGCACACCCCCATGACCTACCCCCTCTAGTCATATCCTACCCTGCCTTCAATTACCACTCAGTTAATCCCTATCAGGGGATTAATTCGCTGATTGCTTTAAGGTTCTCATAACCCAATCATCCACCTCTAAACCTTTCATTTCTCACATATAAGCTTTTGGGGGACACATCATATGTAAACCATAACACTGAAGTTCTCTCTAAATTTCTGTGACTGGCCTCAAACTTGTGATCCTTGTGCTCTGCTTCCCCAGTCACTGAGATTACAGGCATGTGCCAATGAGTCCAGCACTGAACATACACAGACTTTTTGGTCATTGTTCCAACAACATAGTATAACAACTATTTACATAGCACTTACAGTTTGGAATTGTATGTAATATAGAGGTGATTTAAAGTACAGTTGTCCTTTGTGTATATGTGGGTGATCAATTCCAGGATTCCCTACACATAACCAAAATCTGCAGATGCCCAAGTCCCTTATATAAAATCATCTCATATACTTTAAATTGAATAACATTTTATAAATAAAAGAGAAAGGGGCTGGGGTTGTGGCTCAGTGATGGAGTGCTTTCCTAGCATGTGTAAGGCACTGGGTTTGATCCTCAGCATCACATATAAACAAACAAACAAACAAATAAATAAATGTATTGTGTCCATCTACAATTAATAAAATAAAAGAGAAATAAAGGAGAGATTGGTGGTTACCAAGGGTTGGGGGTGAGAAGAAGTGGGTGTAGATGTAAAATGGCAATGTGAAGGATTCTTGTGATGTTAGAACTATTCAGTATCTTGACTGACTTATAGCATTTAATATATAAACATACAAATGAGTACAAACAGAACTGGGGAAATCTGAATAAGATTGGTAGACTATATCAATGTTAATACTCAGGCAGTTACATTATACTATAGTTCTGTAATATTTTACCATTAAAAGAAATTAAACAAGCTGGGTGTATTAGTGAATACCTGTAATGCCAGCGGCTGGGGAGACTGAGGCAGGAGGATCACAAGTTCAAAGCCAGCTTCAGCAATTTAGTGAGGCCCTAAGCAACTCATGAGACTCTGTCTCTAAATAAAACAAAAAATAGGGCTGGGGATGTGGCTCACTGGTTAAGCACCCCTGGTTTCAATCCCTATACCAAAAAAAAAAAAAAAAGGGAAATTGGACACAGTGTACAGAGATCTCAACGTAACTTTTTGTTTTTCTTTTGTGGTACACCTTGGCAATCAAATCCAAGACCTCACTGCTCCACAGTCTATCATTGAGCCACATCCCCCCGCCCCTGCCCCCTACTTTTTCTTTAAATTTTTAGTCTTGATAAGTTGCCCAGGCTGGCCTTGAACTTGTGATCCCACTTGAATTTGTGATTCTCAACTTCCCAAGTCACTGGGATTATAGGTATGCGCTACCATGACTGGCTTGCCATTGCTTTTAATAATTTCAAGTATATTTATGATTATCTTAGTAAAAAATTCAATTAGAAAGAGTAATAATTTTCTTTACCTGAAAAAATTTTATTACTCTCATCTACCCTCTCCAGAGCTGGCTTCATCTACCAGGTTCTATTAGCCTTATTATTATTCTCTGGCAAGAAAAATATCTGCATAATATAGTCAATTCCCTTACAAATAAAAGTTTCCATGAGAATCAAACTAAAAAGTACTGGTAAGACACATTAAATTATCTTAAATTTAGAACACCATAATTCATTATACATTTTCCTTTTTATTGGTGCATTATAATTATACATATTAGTGAGATTTGTTATTACATATTCACATGACTTTTTGTTCTGAACTCATATTTTTTAACATGGCAGCCCACCTAGCACTATGTAAGAGTTTTAGCTCAGTATCATACTGCTTTAACTAGACAACACAATAACCAACTGAATAGGTTAATATTTATTCCTTCTATATCCGGCTTTAGCCAAATATAGCTCTCTTGCACCTGTTTCTCCATTAAACGGCAAAAACACAATTATTTTTGTATGTCCCACAAAGAGATAAATTATAATAAAAATTTTTAAATGCATGCAGTGAGAAGAAAACCACCCTATCAAGACAGTTGTGTTCCTGTGGAATTAAATAATAGGTTATTGGAAAAAGGAAAGATGACTCATGCTGATGCTCAGGTATTCTGTTGAAATCACTAAACTTTTCTTTTTTAAAATGACTTTAACACTAGGAAACCATGCAAAAATAGTCACTAATTTTGGGGGTGGGGGTGGGGATTGAACCTGAGAGTGCTTTACCTCTGAGTTACATTCCTAGCCCTTTTCTTTCTCTCTTTTCTTTTTTTCTTTATTTGCGACCTCCTGCCCCACTCTCCCAAATTGCTGCAATTACAGGCATGTGCTGCTATACCTGGCTGACACTAATTTGTATTAAATTTAGACAATGCCAATGGGAACTATCTAAAACCATGTCAAAATGAGATCTTACAGAGCCTTTCAGATATTTACCTTGTTAAATAGATGAAGACATATATGTAATTAGGAAATGATTTATGTACACATGACAAGTAGCTTTTTTTTTTTTTTCCTAGTGCTGGGGATTGAACTTGAGTCTTGCATATGCTAGGCAAGTGCTGTATCACTGAGCTATATCCCCAAATCTGTTGATTTTATCTTGAGGCAGAGTCTCCCTAAGTTGCTGTGGCTAGCTTCAAACTTGTGGTCCTCCTGCCTCAGCTTCCTGAGTTGCTGGGATTATAGGTATTTGCCACTATACTTGATGGTTTAAAAGTTTTTAAATGAATTATGCATAGACATAAAACTTAATCTAATACAAATATGAATTATCAAAAATTCAAATTTCTGAGATTATTAATAATAAGTTAGACTGTTATAATAAGATCTCTATAGTTTTAAGGGATTGACATAATTTTTCCTGAAAGAAAAGAAAAATCTATGACTCTATCAAAGCTTTCATAAGATATACTATGTCTACATAAGCTCAATTTAAATCTAAGCTCTATCTACCACTCTTGTGTAGATAAAATGGAAATATATATATATTTACCTAGATATTTATATCTATACTTGTATCTACTTAAATTAAATCTGGAATCAATCAAGCCATTGATAGAGGAAATAATAGAAAAGAACTTTTATATGGTTCTGGGCAGCAAAGAATCCACTATAAATGACTATGTTGAGTTGAGTCCCTGCCCCCATATTTGTATGTTGAAGTCCTAATTCCTAATATCTCAGCACGTGCCTGAATTTGAGTAATTATGTTAAGTAATTATGTTAAAATGATATCATTAAGGTAGGCCCTAATTCAATATGATGGGTATCCTTATAAGAGGAGGAAACTTGGACATAGGCTGATACACAGGAAAAACCACATGAAGACAGGGAGAAGACCACCAGCTACAAGCCAACCAAAAAAACTACCCAACTGACACCTTGTCTCAGACTTTTTTGATGTGACGGGGGTGGGGTGCTGTTGTTCCACTCTGGGGAGTCAAACCCAGGTCTTCACATATACCAGGCGCTTCAAGCACTCTACCTCTAAGTCACATTTTTAGCCCTCTGTCTCAGACTTCTAGCCTTCACAACTGTGAAAAAATAAACTGTTGTTAAATCTACTCAGTCTATGACACTTTGTTATGGCTGCCTAGGAAATAGCCACCATAGATTGCTACTTATTCAAAGGGCTGGTCATTGCCCCTCAAATGTAAGCATTCCCAGCATTTTGCCTAGAGGTAACCATAGAGGCAGCATAGACATAAATGGCTACATCATAGTACCCTTAACAATGACCTTTGAGCTTCCAACCATGGCTACCTTTGGAACTATTTCTTGCAACAAATCCTGAGAATAGTTAGGCTCAACTAAAGAATTTCTACAGGTGCTCTCTAGTCTTCATCAGAGGGAGTAAAATTCAAGGGATTTCCTACAAATGTGTTTTCTGTTTTTGTTTTTGTTTTTTAATCTATTGATGCCAATGAGATATATCAAGTATTAAATTAAACTAGTGAATATTTGCCATTTGGTGGTATGCTGAAAATAGGAGCTCATTTTTTTCATTAAAAATATTTAGGAGCCAGGCATGGTGGCGCACACCTATAATTCCAGCTACTTGGGAAGCTGAGACAGGAAGCTGAGACAGGAAGATTGTGAGTTGAAGGCCAGAGTTGGCAACTTAGTAAGCCATCGTCTCAAAAATAAATAAATAAATAAATAAATAAAGAGAGCAGAGGGTATAGCTCAATAGTAGTACACCACTGGGTTCAATCACAGTACCAAAAAAAAAAAAAAAAAAAAAATTAAGGTAGGCAGTATAGCTCAGTGGTAGAGCACTTGCCTAGCTTGGTCAAGGTCCTGGGTTTAATCCCTAGCACTGGAAAACAAACAAACAAACAACTTAGTACATATAATTGATTATTATTTTTACATAAATTTTAAGCATGGTAATCTGTAAGCTGTGTTCTAATATCCCAAATTTGTCTGTCATCTCCAGTGGATATTCTCTGTCAAAAGACAGATTTGAGTCTAAATTAAAATTACTCCTCAGGAATGAAAGAATTCAATATTGAGAACACACACACACACAAAAAAGCAAAAGTGGGATAGATAATACCTTGAGCTCTTTATCAGAATGTTTACTCTCCCTACTTCTACAGAAGATATAATTTTCTAGTGTTCTTTTTTGTTTATATAATCTCTATACCTCAGCTAAAAGATTCTTGTTTTTCACCAACAAACCAGCAAAGTCAGGATGGACTGGGTCAGCTGCCCTTTTGTTGCATGTAACTGGGTTCCTGGTAGAAATCACCTCAGGAGGTAGATCAAAACAAGCCTACAAAGAGAAATTGCCAATTAATTACTAAACATGTACCCTGTGAATAAAAACCCACAATATTCTGGCTTATATTAACTCAAGTAAGTAGTTTTAAATAGACCAAACTTGAAAATATTCATTTTGAGGTGCTACCCTAACAAACACATTAGGTCCCAAGAAAACAGCAAGCAACAACATGCTGACCCAAAAAGCTACTTCATATTTTCTAAAACAATTTGTAATGTGAGCCATGAGGAAATGCTGCACATCTATAAATTGTGCAGACACAATTTCTGAAAACATAGGAATCAATAAAATGGGGAAATTTTAATGTGCATCTAATAAAAAGTTTATAGAAACATGAACTACTAGGTAATTGATTCCGGGCCTGGTAGTGCTCATCTGTAATCACAGCTACTAGAGACAGAGGCAGAAGGATCTCAAATTGAGGCCAGTCTTAGTGAGACCCTATCTTAAAATAAAAAATAATCCCAGCAACTCAGGAGGCTGAGGCAGGAGGATGGCAAGTTCAAGCCTCGCCTAGATGACTTAGCAAGACCTTGTCTTAAAATAAAAAAATAGAAGGGTTGGGGATATGGCTTGGTAGTAGAGCACTCTAAAGTTCAATCCCCAGTACTGCAAAAAACAGAAAGTAAATAAATAAATAAAAATTAAAAAGTTTGAGGATATAGTTCAATGCTTGCCTAGCATGGGTAAGGCCTTGGGTTCTATCCCCAGTACTACAAAAAGCAAATAAACAAACAAAAAAATGTGGTGCACTAAAAAGATAATGAGAGTCAGACTACTTAGTTCCACCACTTAATCACTGTGGCCTTTCTCTGGGGTTCAGTATCCTAATCTGCAAAATAATTGAACTAGATCAAACTCAATTTACAGTCTATTTTTATATTATTTTGGGGATAATGGGCATTAGTGAAATACCAGAACTACAAAAACAGTCAAAACCAAAATCCGTTTGAGGTTTTATTAGATTATAATATTTCCTTGCTCCTTGTTCTAGAATCAAGCCAGAAATCAAAAGAAGTGGGATATCATTTGACCTCATTTCTTGTATTCATTCACTAGCAAAGAAAGGGGTCAGGGCACTAGCATAGGCAAATGGACAAACAGAATGGACTTTCCCTTTCTTCAAGCTCTCAGTTGTGTGGGAGAGATTGATTTACTTCCTTATGAGAATGGGGAAAAAAATAAACACCAGAGTACAACTCACCACTGGATGGTTTTTCCAGGCTGATAGCTGCCTGACTTGTGGTGACTTAGCCTTATGGGGCCTAGTAGGAAGCCTTCCTGGATGTGAGTGGTTTAGAGATCGGAGAGGGCTTGACATGCTGGAGATACAAGCAGCATGAAACGGATCTACTAACGGTGACCCCAGATGCTTCCCAGGGAAGTTTCCATAGAGTACTCAAGAAGAGATGCTGAGGTCTGTTGGGCATCAAAAGCAATGTCTTCTAGAAGGTTCTACTTCAGATCCTCAGGGCTTAGTTAAACCTCAGAAGAAGCTGCCCAATGAACCTATTGCTTAGAGAAAAGGAAGACCTGGTTTCTAGAGACAGGACCAAACTCTGTTTAGATTGTAACTGGTGAAAGTAGCACGTGAATGTAGGTATGTACACTCATAATATCATTCCCCTTTTTTTCTTTAGTGATGGGGATTGAACCCAGAGCCTTATGCATGCTAGGTAAGCGCTTTACTACTGAATTTTACCCCCAATGTTGTTTGTTAATCACGTTTTTAGTTATTTGACTTGTAAATTTTCCCTTATTTTTAATCTGTTAGAAATATTATGTCCCTCAAGATACCACTAAAAGATAAAAGTCAAATATGAATTGATAACATAGAATGTGATAGTTCACAGTGCTCTTTATACCCCAGAGGAAAATAAAATGTAACCTCATATTGTAATTTTTGTAAATTAAATTTTCTAAGAATTTCAGCATTGCCTTAAATCTATTTTCTCTACCCAGTTCAATTCCATATATTATCTTTCTTTTCTAAAGTAAAATCTTAAAGAATAGAGAAAACTTTGAAAATTGACCTTCTATGTTTTATCAAGCAACGGGATAGGGGTTCCTTTTTCAAAACCAGGAAATAGACAGGTGTAGTGGTACTTGCCAGCTACTTGGGGGGCTGAGGCAGAACAGAAAGTTTGAAGCTAGCCTCAACAACTTAGTGAGACCCTATCTCAAAATTTAAAAAATAAAAAGAGGGATGTAGCCCAGTAGTAGAGCCACTCCTGGGATCAAAGTAGTAGAGCCACTCCCAGTACCAAAATAAATAAACAAATAAAACAAAACAAAATCAGGGAATACATTCTGATGTTTAGGAACTGCCCTGAAGGGGCTTCATGTAAGTGTGGGGTATGTTTTTCCTTTGCTGAGTGTTGTCTCCCACAGAATTGGACAGTCTCAGAATGATAGGAATTTTCAAGGGAAGAAAAAAAAATCAGGATCATGTGACTTGTGTGTGCAGGTGTGTGTGCATTCGCACTCAAGTGTGTACGTGTGTGTGTGTGTGTGTGTGGTGTGTGATACTGGGGATGGAAACCAGAAAAGCCTGGCAAGAGTTCTACCACTGAACCACACCCCTAGCCCCAAGGACCCTGTGACTTGAGGAGCATGGAACACAATGCAATAAGGGCCTGTGTTTTCTTTACTAACCCTGAAGTCTGTTTTAAAATCCATCTAATAGGGTTGGGGTTGTGGCTCAGCAGTAGAGCACTTGCTTAGCACATGCAAGGCCCTGGGTTCGATCCTCAGCACCACATAAAAGTAAATAAAATAAAGGTATTGTGTCCAACTACAATTAAAAAAAAATTTAAAAAATCTAATAATTTAAATTTAATATTATCAAAAGCAAATATTAAAGCATAAATATGTCTAGTGAGACTTTAATCTCTCCCCTATTCTCATTATTTGATACCTAAGATCATTACTATATCAGTTTCTTTTCTAAAAGCCAAAGAAGAGAATCAAAAGAACTAAAGTTTTCATGGAAGGAAAAATAAATTCCTCCTTAATCCTGGAAATATCATGATACTGAAAATAAATTTCTTCTTAATATTCTCAGTTTTTACTTTCATTTTTATTTTCTTACCATCTTATGAATCTTGGCCTCTATTTTTTTTTTCTTTTTGCAGTGCTGAGGACTAAACCCAGGACTTTGTACATGCTAGGCAAGCACTCAACCACTGAGCTATTCCCTAGCCCCTTGTGCTCTATTAAAAACAACTTTATTTATTGATTTTCACTCAGATTCTCTAAAAAACAAGCTATTGTGCAGGCCATTCCCAGATGGTGAACTTTTATAAAAATTCTTCAGTGTCAGTTCAAATACCATTCCTTCATTTCTACAAAGCAAAGGTGATCTCTCTTTTCTCTTAACTTTGCTATGGTCTGAATGTATCCCCTAAATTAATATGTTGAAACTTGGTTGTCAGTGTGATAGTATTAAGAGGTAGGACCTTTAGAAGGTGATAAATCAAGAGGGCAGAGCCCTCCCGGACGGCATCAGGACTCTTAATAAGTCTTGAGGTAGCTGGGTGCAGGTGGTGACTTGGGAGGCTGAGTCAGGAAGATAGCAAGTTACTTAGTAAGATCCTGTCTCAAAATTAAAAATAAAAAGAGCTGGGGATATGGCTCATTGGTAAATGCCAATGGGTTGTTCAATTCCTGGTACAGGAAGAAAAAAAAAAAAACTTGAGTGAGAGAGTTCACTCTCTTTTCTTCTACTACTATGTAAGGATGAAATAAGAAGGCCTTCACCAAGCTGAGCGTGGTACCCCACACTTGTAATCCCAGTCATTCAGGAGGCTGAGGCAGAAGGATTACCAAGTTTGAGGCCAGATGGAGCAATTTAGGGAAACCCTGTCTAAAAATGAAAAAATAAAAAAGGGGCCCAGTAGTTAAATGCTCCTGGGTTCAATCCCTGGTGCTGAGAAAAAGAAAAAAAAAAGAAGAAGGCTTTTACCACTTTACCAGATACTGAATGCCAGTGCTTTGATCTTGGAATTCCCAGCCTCCAGAATCTAGAATCATGAGAAATAAATTTCCAGTCTTTATAAATTACCCAGCCTGGGTATTCTGTTCTAGCCCCGCAGACTATTCATTTCATTATTATCTCATTTGATATTGTACTATGTCAAATTTTCATCTCTCCTGCTAAATAAAAGGTATTTAACAGTAGGATCTACTTCTGGTTTGTCCTTATCATCTCACAACAGCCACAGAAAATATAAACTGAACAACCAAAGAAAACAAGAAGAGAAAAAAAAATCCTTAATACAAAGTTAATTTAATAGATATTAGTACTGTTCCCTAAAATGAATTTCATGAAAATACAATAAAAATGTATGAGATATCTAAAGTAAAAATAAAATACAACAATATGACATGTTTATTCTGGGATTTTTAGTTTTGTATATGACTATTCTATTTTACATACTCATAAGATAAAGTATGCTATGTAAAATTTAATAGAAAGCAAAAATTTTTACCACATAAAGAACAAGAGAAAATTCCAAATCCAAGGTCAATCCCAGAAGGCACCTGAATTGTCCACTGTAAGTAGCAGTCCTGCCAGTAGAATGTTAGTACATCAAAGGAGCTGTTGCTGGGCAACCGCATCACAGAGGTTCAAGGAGGGAGAAGAAATCTCCCAAAGTGACAGTTAGACTTGTAGTTATTTCCCTAATTAATAAAATGAAAAAACAAAGTGATTTTCATCAAGCATTAGTAATCTTAGGAAATCTTAAGAAAGTGATCTGACCAAAAAGTGAACACTCCAGCAATCATGCAAATCATAATTCTGATCCTCCTTTTGTGAAATTCTTAGAATAGGTCAAACATTTGTACTCCAACATATATCTCATCAAAGGAGAACTATTTTGAGAGAATGGGAAATTATTCCATCTACTATTTCTTTTCTTTTCTTTCTTTCTTTTTTTTTAAGCTGTTGAAAGATCTTTATTTTATTTATTCAAATGTGATGCTAAGAATCGAACCCAGTGCCTCACACGTTAGGCAAGTGCTCTACCACTGAGCCACAACCCCAGTCACCTATCTACTATTTCTACAGCAAAAGATTCTTTGTCTGAAAAATCAGGATTCTAATTCTGGGAAAATATTTTCACAGCAGAGAAAGTAGGTTGCTATTACTATTACTATTACAATTATTATGTGTGTGCGGACTGGAGATTGAAGCCAGGGGCACTTAACTTCTGAGCCACATCCCCAGTTGCTAAGGGCCTAGCTAAGTTGCCCAGTCTGGCCTAGAACTTGCAATCCTCCTGCCTCAGTCTCCAGAGTTGCTGAAATTATAGAATGTGCCCCTATGCCTGGATATGTATTATTATTTTTTAGTTTTAGTTTTTTATTTCATTTTATTTCAGTACTGGGGATTGAACTCAGGACATTGTATGTCTGAGCTACATCCCTACCTCCCCAGCCCTTTTTAAAAAAAGATTTTGAAACAGAGTTTTGCTAAGTTGCCCAGGTAAGCCTTGAACTTGTGATCCTCCTGCCTCAGTCTCCTGAGAATATAGTTAGGCACAGCCATTGCTGGCTCTATAATGTATTCTTGATCTTGAAATAACCAGAAATATCTTTTAATATCAAATAAATCTTCAAAGAATACTGATACCTTGACCTTACCCCAATTTATGACTTTATTAGTCAAAGGTAGAACCGGCATAACTTCATACTAAAAGCTATATAGGTCATTAAAATGTAAATTTAGGGGCTGGGGATATACTCAGTTGGTAGAGTGCTTGCCTCACATGCACAATTCCCTGGGTTCAATCCCCAGCACCAAAACAAAAATAAATAAATAAATAAATAAATAAATAAATAAATTTAGGGCTGAGAATAATTGCCCACTGTCTTCATCTATATATGATAAAAATGAGGCTGGAGAAATTAAGTTATAGAAATGAGAGTAATAAATAACTACTCCAGGATAACAGGAAGCATTTTTTCCCTCTACAAGATTTTTAAAAAATTATACTCACTGAGGATAGGGATGTAACTTAGTGATAGAGCACTTACCTATTGTATGCAAGGCCCTGGGTTCGATCCTCGACACTATAAAAAATAAAAATAAAATAAAAAATATCCACGTGCAGTAGGTAGGTAAGTATGAACAACAAAGGAAATCTTATAAAGCTCAGACTCTGGTGGAGAAAGCAGATAGTCCACAAATAACTTAAAAACAAATCATTTTTATGGTAATAAGTGCTATGAATAAAATAAGCTCATGTGAAAGTAAAGGAGAGGTAAATTAGAGGGCAACTTTTAATAGTATAACCAAAGAAGGCCTTTGGGGGATATACTAATAAATTAAATGGTAATATACATTTTACAGATAACCTGCCTTTACAGAGATTCATTATGATGAAGGCTATTGAGGTTTACTATTGAAGTTGATGTTGTAATTAACATTTTCCTATATATCTTTGTGTATCTGTGTGAATATTAATTAAGGATAAATTCCAAGAAGTGGAATTACAATAATATCAATATATTATTAAATCACTCCGCCAAAAGGTTGTAAAAATGAAGTTTGGGCAAAAAAGTGACACATATCTTCTAGCAACTGCCATTATATGTATTTAAATAAACTTTTGTCTTACTGTTCTCTCTGAGGTAGTCAGTTCTTGCTCCCTACTTTAACCAATGTGCAACATTTTCTTTTATTTTTTAGACAGAATCTTGCTAAGTTGCTGAGGCTGGTTTTGAATATCTGCAACATTTGACAGAATTAATTACCCCTTTTCCCATGAAATATACTTTTTTAAAAAATATTTTTTAGGGCTGGGGATGTGGCTCAAGTGGTAGCGCGCTCGCCTGGCATGCATGCGGCCTGGGTTCGATCCTCAGCACCACATACAAATAAAGATGTTGTGTCCGCCTAGAACTAAAAATAAATATTAAAAAAAATTCTCTCTTTAAAAAAATTATTTTTTAGTTGTCAATGGACTTTTATTTTACTTATTTATATGTGGTGCTGAGAATCAAAGCCAGTGCCTCACACGTGCTAGGCAAGTACTCTACCACTGAGCTACAACCCCAGCCCAAATATACTGTCTTTCAAGACAATGTGCTTTTGTAGTTTTCCTCATAACACACCGGATTCACTTTTTGTCTTTCCTCTTGGGTGTTCCAGGGATCAGTCATTGGTTCTTTCTTTACTTATATCCAATTTTCTTGGTGAGCTCTTATCCAGTCTCATGGATTTAAATATTATATCTCCACTTTTATGTTGAAGAGGCATCTGAAATCATTTCAGTTGAATTCATGATCTTATCCCTAAAACCTGGTCCTTCTACAGAAAGGTAAAATCCTTTCATCTCCCTGTAGCTCAGACCAAGTCCTTGTTATCTTTCTATTACATTCCAAGTTCCTCTCTTCATTTAGGTTTCTGCTTAATCATTGCCCAGAGAAACTTCTCTTACCACAATTCCAAAACTGCACTGCTGGGGATGTGGTTCAGTGGTAGTACACTTGCTTAGCATGTGTGAGGCCTTGGGTTCAATTTCCAGCAAAGGAAAAAGGAATAAATATGTATCAACCATCACCTTCCACCTCCCCACCATCACTGTCTATCCTCTTAACTAGCCTATTTTTTAAAAATAGCATTTCTCTGGGCTAGGGTTATATCTATAGGGCTTGCTAGCATGCTTGAGGCCCTGGGTTTGATCCCTAGCACTCCAAAATTAGTAAATGACGAAACAAATAGCATGCCTTCATCTCTAAAGCTGTATATTATTTAAATTGATCATTCTCTTCTCCCACCAAAATATGAACTGAGGGCAGGAACAGCTTACTAATATATCTGGTTCAGCAGTATACCACTAGAGCTGTGTTGTTGGCACATAGTGGCTGCTCAACAATTTCTTGCTCAATGAATGAATGAACTGTACAGGTCATAGATATGACAGCTGAAAACTAGACTTGTTCAGATAGCAAAGGCAATAAATTAAAGATGAAGCATCCAGCTTTGGGTCCTAGGGCCAACAACAGCTTTGGGCAAGGAATACTTCAAAGTTTAGTTGCCCATTTGTAAAATGGAGTTTGGATATCTTTCTCAGCAAACAAAACAGCAGAAACAGTCATTATCTGGTAATGTAAGATACAAAAAGATTCACTACCTGTAATTTATCAGAAACAGTTTTCTTGTTAATTTCATTTGTTCAGGCAAAACAATATGAGTGCATGTTCAGAAGTCATTATATTACTATTATAAGGTAATTATTGTATCACTATGTGTTATATTGTGTCCACTTAGGGGCTGGGGATGTTGCTTACTGGCAGAGCCACTTAACATATGGGAGGCCCTGGATTCAATCTTTAGCCTAAGTATACACACACACACACACACACACTGGAAAAAAAATCGCCAAATATTTCCTAAACGTATCATGGTGGTAGCTGTACAAGTCTGTAAATATATAAAAAATCATTGACATTTAAAAACGGGTTAATTTTTGGGCTGGGGTTGTGGCTCAGAGGTAGAGCACTTGCCTAGCACGTGCGAGGCCCTGGGTTCGATCCTCAGCACCACATAAAAATAAATAAATAAAATAAAGGTATTGTGTCCAACTACAACTAAAAAAAAAAAATTTAAAAAGGGTTAATTTTATGATATGTAAGTCACACCTCAAAACTGTTAATAAAACAAGAAAAAGATTCTATAATTCCATATAGTGGGTATTGCAAAATATTCTAAGAATTTAGGAATTCTCAGAATTTAGACAAATGTTAATTACGCCCCCCCCCCC